TCTCTCTCTCTCTCTCTCTCTCTGGTGAGCGCACACGTCCTATAGCGAAAACCTCTCCAGGAAAAAAATAAATAAATAATAATAATAATAATAAAATAGTTATTTGAAAACAGTCTAGGAGGAACTGACTAAAAATTATGATTTTAAATTCATCTAGACATGGGACTAGCAGGTGGGATAATGGTTAAGTCACCAAACTCCCACATGGTTGACTGCGTTTCGAGTCCCTGACCTGGAGGCTTAAAACTCACACCAGGTATGTGTGTGTGCATGCCTGCCCAAGACCCCAAGAGGAGAATGGAGAAGGGACTGCAACATGACCATACCTGCTGGGGGATGGTTTCTCACTTTGTCTCTCCAGTGAGTGCACATGTCCTATAGCAAACATCTTTCTCAAAAACAACAAAAAAAAATATATAGACTTTAGATTTTTAAAAGCCCCACTAACATCTTCCTATTGTTTCAGTTGATTAAATAACAAATTAACACTGGTTATAAGGGGGAAACAAAAACTTGAACAGTACAATCTTCTTAAATTGAGGTTAGAAACTGTTCTTAGTGCAGTGATCTAACATTTCAATGACTTCAATCTCATTATTCCAACCTATCAAAGTATATTTTTGTGGTATAATAGTGGGTGGATCTGTCAGGCAGCCCATAGCCTGGTGGTTACATGCACTGAACCAACTGCATGTTTCGAGTCCCAGACCAGGCTGCTTGAGGAAAAAAAAAAAAAAAAAAACAAACAGAAACTGGATGCATGTGTGACCATGCCCAAAATCCCAAAATGAGGAAGAAATGGAGAAGGACTGTAGTATGACTATTCTCCATGTTGGGTGCTTCCCTCCTAGTCTGTCTCTGGCAGGCACACAACTCCTCTGACAAATTAAAAGAAAAAATATATAATGGACCTGTCAGGAATCAAGTCTCTGGTTCATGTATTTTCTTAAGCAAGCAAAAAAAAAAAAGGAAGTATCAGGGGCCTGAATGGTATTGCTGTGGTAAAACAACACTACACAATACTGACCCACATGGAAAAGTTCTGGGTTAACATCTGGAGACCTCTGTGAACATGTACATGCCCATGATCCTCAGCTGGCTAAAGCAGGAGTTGACTGCTAAGTCAAAACTCTGGTGGGAATGCTGCCCCTCTCTCTCTGTTATGGAAGAAGTAAACAAACTAAAAATAAATTTAAAATAAAAGAGGGCTGACCCCATGGTCTAGAAGTTAAGAGAACTGGATTCTACATGGCTGACTGCACGTTTCCAACTCCTGGCCCCTGAGGCTTGAAAAACACACCAGGCATATGTGCAGATAGGCCCAAATCCCAACAGGATGGAGAAATGGGAGGAAGAGAGATTTCAGTATGACCATATCCCACTGGGGGGGTACTTTATCCCTTTCCCTCCTCCTCTCTGTCTCTTTCTGGTGAGCACATGCACCTTCTGGCAAATGAAAAGAATTTTAAAAAAGGAAGTAACAGACTCCTATTACTGTTTCCTTCAAACTTAATATAGTTTAAGAGTCATTCTGGCTTTAATTCTTTTATCAAAGTTTTTATTTTAAATGTCTTTTCTCATGAATCACTGGCATGAAATGTAAATAAACACTGTCTCTATATTTAATCTGCAAGGTAGTCAGAAATAACTGTATTTATGATGCCTTCTCAAATGCATCAGAAACATTGCAGCTAATGACTTAATTCATGAAACAAACCTATTAAAAAGCACTGTATTTCTAAAGATAAACTGATGAATTCTTCTCTATTAGAGACAGTCGGCTCAGTTTGTTAGGATACCACTGGGCCTTTCCTCTAAGTGAGAACTCTTTATTTTCCTCTACTACATTAATTAAAGATCACTGCTGCGAAGGGCCAGATGTTGTTGCAGTAGTAAAACATGATTCTCTGCAAGGGAAAGTTCCCAGATCAAGCCTAGGGAACCTCCCTAAGTATACTAGGAACAAGCTTGCTCATGATCTGGAGGTGACTGAAGGCTGGTAATGGAGCACAGCAACAGGACCCTGTTTGGGGTGCTGTA